CCCATTAACTGAATTTTTTTTCTCAACTTTTCCAAAGTGAGAACTTTGTGATGACCATGATATATTGATTTACCCACAAAAAATAAAACTCCATATGTTATGTGTATGTATTACGGTTTGGAATAGATTTCTTGATGATCAGAACACATTAATATCTGTGGCAACTGTTGCATTTAAACTTTTAATGTTGTCTCTTTCAGGATGATCGCTCTTCTGAAGAGGTTTCGTTTGGATATCCACGACGTTACAGTCATGACAGACAGCGAAAAGCATCCAAACTCAAAGAAGTATGTCGGCAGAAACCTTTTCATTTGCTGTCATACGATTGTCAAAACCTGGAAAACTTGGAAAACTTAACCTGACACAGGAAAGTTCACTCTTTAAAACTGGTTATAATTAAACAGGCTTTTCATGTTTTTTTTTGTTTTATTCTTACTTCTTCCAAGCCTGAGTAGATTTGTGGACAGTGTTGCCCCCTTCATGCTACATGATGAACAGCAGGAAGGTGTCTCAACTCAAGAACAGAGACAACGTGCCCCATGGAAAATATCAGAAAAAGAGTTTGAGGCCTTTAAACTTAAGGTTTGTGTGATAATAAAACTATTTCCAACATGTGCAACATAAAGCTGTCCTTTATGTTGTAATTTTTCAACATTGTGTACATTATATTCATGTTTATTCTATTTGTATTTTTATGTATGAGTATACTATAGAAGCAATGAAGAAAGGAGAGTTCATATCCTTGATTGCGTGCACATACTTGGGAAATAAAGCAGAATTGGATTCTGAGTGGTGTCATCTGCTGCGATACACTGAAAATAATTTTGTATCCCTTCAGACTGAGAGAAAAGTGAGGCTGAATGAAATTATCCGGAGGAATTCTCAACATGCTGCTCTTGTGCTCGTGTGAGTACAAAGTTAGATTATCACTTCATGTTATTAGAGATAATTCAAGCGTTAATGTATGCTGAATCATTAGGATTTGTCATGCTTTGAACGAAGGGGCCACACTTTAAATGACTATTTTGCGATCATATTACTTTTTGGGATATTTCGGAAAGGATTAGGTCCGTGTGAGCATTTTTTTTTTTAATCTGACAATTTAAGCGGGAGTGCAGAAAACATAGCTTATAAAGAAAAATAGCCCTCCAGTTACTCATCCAGTGTCAGGATGAAAAAGAAATTGTAATAAATTATAATAATAAATAAATCGGTATATAAATACCCAGTACATCAGTATATAAATACACAGTACATCAGTATATAAATGCATACACAAATATACAGTAGTTGAAACATGTATTCAGGCCTCTTTATCAGCATTAGGACATGAAAACAGCGATGCCAAATGTTATACACAAGTTCACTGTGGTCATTTGCATGGCAGTATGATTCAGATAGGCGATAAAGGTGGGAAAGTATAGTTCTTTTTAGGTGTGCTGCAAATCATTTGCCTCATGTCATTGTTCCTCCTACGTCAAGTAAGAGCAGTCTTTGTTCTTGTTTTGCAGTTCTGATATGTTCATGCAAATGTGATGTTTTTTTCCAGGAGCCTTCCTGTGCCTCACAGCGACTGCCCCAGTGCTCTGTACATGGCCTGGCTAGATACTCTGACCTGTGGCCTCCACTGCCCCGTGGTGCTGATACGAGGAAACCAGCAGAACGTCATCACTTTTTACTGCCAATAAATTCTGTCTTACAAGGATGGAGACTTGATGTATCCAAACAAACCTAATAAGTAAACATTGTGAAGAATGTACAGATTTAAAGTTCTAATAAGTAGCAATGGAAGATTCAAACCACACAGTTACTTGCATTCAAGATCATCTTCAGGGTCATGCTAATGACAATGCATATTAGTCAACAGCTGACGATGAAAAAAAGACAGAAAGAGTCTGACATAAGTTGTCAGACTTTGCTGTGCTGGGTTGTTCACAGGTTCGACAGCCAGTATTTCTTAATCAGCAGCTACAGACATTGTTAAATGAGGTTTCTTACTAAAGTGTTGAACCTCTGTAACAGCTTCTTGGCATTGAATGTACCACGTTCCAAAAGTCAAATGGTATGCACACATTTCTTACAAAGCATATTTCCTGATTTGGCACTGTCACACATGTTGACCTACAATCCGCCGTTAATGTTCAGTTAGGTGGAGATCTGTTGTCTGTGAAGGCCTTAGAATATGAGCCATAACCTAAATTGTGTTATTGATTAAACTGATCACACCTGGACTTGTCACTAGAAACCTGTCGCCAGCAAAACTATTGTTTTCCTATAGGCACCTTAACATTTGTCTGACAAGGCTTTTTTGAAGTGGCTGCGTCTGCAGCAATATATATCAATGAGATGGTAACTTTATGGAAATGAATGTTTTTATAATGCTTATTTAGTCGTTCACCCAGGTTGTTCCTTTTGTAAGTACATAAACAACATTTGAAACAAACTGTTTAAAGGTTTAAGACAATTCAATGAATATCAGAAATTATCTAAATACAATCACGCACATAGGATGTGTTCGAGATCCCTACAATATTATGTATGCATACTATATATATATATATATATATATATATATATATATATATATATATATATATATATATATATATATATATATATATTTAATAATTGACTTGAAACACTATCCGTGTACCTAGATAAAAAGTTAAATAAGTGTTTTTATCACCTTCTTTCTTGCAGAAGTCAGGCAGCAGTTTCCAATAATTTCATATCAAGTACTCTTAAGGCTTTTTTAAGTGTCCCACAGGGGCCTATACTTGGTCTTCTTTGTATTGAGAAATTGTGTTCTCAAAGCTGTTGTTTATGCAAGATTATAACTTTTTACCGATCTTGATCTTGAACTTAAGTATAATCACCTTTTACTATATTGTTCAGTTTTTTTGTGTATAAAATGCCTGCATTTTATTTGAACATCCTAGTTGGATACATTGTATGCCATTAAGAACACTAAAAGGTTCCTACAATAAATAAAAAATTAGATTTAACGCCTTGCACTATTATCCCCGAACTACCAGTCATGTAGCAGTTTACCTCCATGTCTGTAGAAAATGTCCTCACTTCCTCATTTTACCATATCAGACACACTGCTATCTGCAACCCTACAATGCTATATATCACATTTTATAGATGCATAAATGAAAAGAGATACTGATTCATCTGTGCTGAAAATTCAAACTAGTGAGTGTGTATTATCTGAGAATATTTAATGAATCTGGAGATCTGAATTTGAATTATTTCATCAATTGAGATAAAGTTAATGAATTTTAGCAAGAATTTCTCAGTGTATATGGACTTTTAATTGAAAAACAAATGGGAGAGAAAAGTTCATGTAGTGAATAACTAAAACTACCTAAACTGTAATTTAACTTGTCGCTCCTCAGCCATGTGATATAACACTTGATGTTTCTGCTAGGTGCAGAGCCTAAGCATGATGTACTGTACTGTTGAATTTATTTGTGCATAGACCAGATTTCAATGTTAAATGTTACTGGGAAAAAGTTAAAATACTTTTAAAACAAATTGTACATTAAACCCAATGACTTTCCAATTGCCTTGAGTTTAAGTTTTTTGTCGACAAATAAATGGACTCCAACTTGACTTTTATTTTAGTTAAATTTAGTTATTCAATCTTAACATTTTTTGCAGAGCTTTAAAGGTCTGGGTAAAACATTTTTCCCAAGTTTTGAATTGTAACTATTCTGTCATCTATCTTATGGTCAGTCCAATCACAGGTTTGTTTTCCAAGGCATAAGAATATTGAGACACAAGATACTGTTTTGCTATTTCTGAATGAAAATCTATGACTGAAATGAATGTAATGTTGACACAGCCAGAATGTCTTATTATAGTTGTGTGACACATGGTAACAAGCGATATACTAAAGTACAAAACAAAACAATTTAGAATATAGAAATATAAATGTTATTAGTAGTTGTTTTGGAATGACACCTTTTTTTTCTGCGTGTTAGATGAAGGGGAACAGGGGAGTGTGTTCAACTTTTTTTCAACTTTCAACTTTTTTTTTCTGGTTACATCATGTATTAACCATGATGGACCTCTTTGACATCTGAATTTCAATATTCAAATGTTTGCCCAAAGGTGGCTCAAAGAGAACAGCGACCTCATCGATATCTGAGTCTTCACCAGCACATCGAGAGAGACGGAGAGAGAAGCAGCTGACAGGACGACTCAGGAGAAGTAAGTGTGATTCTGTTCAGTCATTTTCATATCATGTTTATTGTGTGTGCAATATATTTCACATATTCTAGTTATCGGATACAAATCAGGTACTTTGTAACAAGTGATGTATGCAGCCTGCTCTGCAGACAAACCCCCCACTATTTTCATTTTTAATAAAATACAATGAATTGCAAATCTTACATTTGTATTGCTATGTTTGAACACAGCCATCTGATTCTCAGTTAAATTACAACAAAATATATTTTTTAATAGGGATAGTTCACCCGTTACACAAAGAAAAGAATGCAAACTCTAAAGTTGTGCTTATAAAAGGAACAATGGGACATTTCATTTTTCATTATTCTCAAAGTTATCTTTCCATTCTGGTTAAATAACCCATAAAGTCTAACCCACTCCTGAAACATAAGTCTTTAAAAGTAGCAGAACATTGAAAGGTCAATACAAACAATTATAAAGATTATTATCGAACCTGCAGAATATAAATATTATAAACTTAAAAAATAGAAAATAATTTCATCATTGTATTGCACTCTATTGTTGAGGTGTTATAGTTACTGTTGAGGTTTGATGCATCACATTATTTCTGTTTTATTCAAATTAGATATTTTCATGTGCTAAAAAAAGAAATGTCACAATGTGAGCCTGTTCGTGCTGTTGATGCTCAACATTTGCATTTTTCCTCTACAGATTTGCTCCCTCATTATTCTGCATGCGTGATAATTTAATTTGAATATTTTGTTAGATTTAATTGTGTTAAATTCATTGTTTCACATAACAGCGCAAAGATGCAGTGGAGTCTGTTTGTGCTCATTCTGATGGGTAAGTGGATTTTTAATTAAAATCACATCTGGAGTCATGAAACTGCTCACTCTTCATAACAATAAAACGTGAAATAAGTGTCCTCAGAGCTCCATTAAGATGAAGGGGATGATGTAAGAGGTGGGGGTGATTTTAGTACTCATGGGTTTGATTTAATGATCAGATGCTTGTCATACTGTCAGCTCCATCACTGCAGAATTGTCTCTGTTTTTAGGTCAGTGTTCCTTCTTCACTTGTCACCTCTATGAGTACCACTTCATTCAAGAGGGAAAGACCTGGGATGAAGCTCAGAGTTATTGCAGAGAGCATTTCACTGACCTGGCCACAGTGTCTGACATGAGAGACGTGGAGAGACTGACTAACTCTTCACAGACTACAGACGCCTGGATTGGACTGAGGAGCATCAATGAAGGAGATATCAAAGTGTGGCACTGGTCTCTGCCGGGGGAGAAGTACAATCCTACAGAATGTGATCCAGAATGTGCACCTGAATGGGCTCCAAATGAGCCGAACAATAATGGTGACAATCCTGAGAACTGTGGAGATTTCAAACTCAAAAAAATGGTACGATACCCATTGTTCTAAAAGCCTTAACTTTATCTGCTACAATGGTGAGTATATGTCACTATTAACGCTATATAAATCATATCATACTGTGTAACAATAGTTGACAGATAACTCATGTGTAGAGTAAAATGAAAAATGTTTTTGCTTTTTACCTTGATCAAAACATTATTGGTAACTGCATGATACAATTCTACTTCTTAAAATACATTAATATTCAAGTATAGGCCTATTTTGTGATTATTGCAATCTACATTATTATACTAAACACTTTCATCAATCTGAAAAATTAAGTGAGATAGTGTTCATCAAAACTTGTAAAATGTGTCTTTTCATTCTCACAGAAACAGGGCAACAGAAATACTTTGTAATTCATGAATCAAAGAACTGGCTTCAGGCTCAGAGCTACTGCAGAGAACATCACACTGACCTGGTCAGTGGAATCCCACAGATCAGATCAGAAGAATTCAACAAACGGGTTGATGAATTCAATGATTCTACATTGTGGATCGGCCTGTTCAGAGAGATCTGGAGTTGGTCAGATGGGAAGAATTTCTCTTTCAGACACTGGGATCCGGACTCATTTCTAGAAGTAGCCTCAAAGACATGTGCTATGACTAAGCCAAATGGAAAATGGAGCTGCGACAATTGCACAGATCAAAAACCCTTCTACTGCTATGAGGGTGAGTTTTGCAAAAGTCTTTGAAAGTATATTAATATTTTGTGTTTAGTTATATATTCATAAAGGTATGTTGAATTTACCTCAGTGGTGAAAATATTTATTATATACAAAGAATTGCAGATTTGGATTATGTGTTCATTCCTACAATGTATAAAAGATGATTTAACTTCAAATTATAAAACCAGGAAAGACCTGAAAGTTTGATTATCATTTAGTAATCTTTCTCATAACATCTTTTTCATCTGGCTTTTACATCAGGTACCATATCCTTTACTATTTATTTCTGATCAAAATTATGATTGAATGAAAGGTGCTATGTTTATATAGTTGAGAGTTATTTTATTATGATAGCTTGCAATAAGTGGTTACTTTGACTCAAACAAAATATCCATTTCAATGACAGACAAAGTGATCCTGATCAAAGAGAAGAAGACTTGGGATGAGGCCCTGACTTACTGCAGAGAGAACCACCGTGTCCTGGTCTCCATCACTGACAGTCACCAGCAGAGCTGGGTCCAAGAGAGAGCCAAGATGGCCGACACTGAGTTCGTCTGGCTGGGAATGCGCTACACCTGCACTCTGGATCTGTCTTTTTTTTTTTTTTTTTTGCAATCCCAACTGGGCCCCCCAAAAAAAGAATGTTCGTTGTGACAGTGACTTGGCTGTAGCGATGAAGAGAGATGGAAAGTGGTACAAAAAGGCTGACAGTGAAAAGTTTCATTTCATCTGCGCTAAGTAAACCCATTGGTATATTTACTGCAACAAGCTCACTCTTCTCTAATCTGTATCTGCTCTCTGGGTTTATTGAATGGCTCTAGTTCAAATATAGAAATCACAACCTGAAGAGGGGAGAAACTAAATTACTAACAGTAACATGTTTTTGTCTTTGTGAACATCTGAATTACTTTATGATATGTTTTTGTTGTAGTAGTTATTCATAGAGTACATGTATATTTATCCTCTTAAAGTGTGGAACCTGTAATCTTCATTTGAATTGTTGTTGTGTCCTATTATATGTTTATGAGGAAAAGAATATCAAAAAACAAATCTATTATGTTTTGCTTTTCATAAATATTTTACGTTATGGTTGAAATTTGGTTATGGTTATAATATGTATATCACTATTTTTGTCATATTTACTGAGTATTTACTCAAGTTTTAACTGGATGTTTAACTGTGTAAAACTGAATAAACGATCTGACCCAAAAACAAGGTGTGGTTCTTTCGTCCACTCGCTTTAAATAGTCATGTTTTACATTTACCTAAGAGGTGATTATTTGACAGTAAACACATAATGTATGGGTATATAATTGAAAAGGATTTCTCCATACATGTAGCTGTCATTCTTACAAATCAAACTACATAATAAGGACTGTGTTTGAGTTCACTGACAGATTCAGTTCGTGATTTTTTAGAGTGAATATGCAGCTTGTCAAAATGCATGCACCCAAAGTAAACAGGAATGAGTCATAAAAGTGGAAGATGTTTTTGTTGTTGTGGTTATCTTTCAACACTAGAGGACGCAGTTGAACCAGCTCTTCTGTTGGTGCCTGCTGTCGTTGGGATTTGCCCACTATAATAACAGTGATTCAAGAAATAAATGATTCATTGGACAATAACAATATATTAATAACCAACTATGGCATGACATTTTACATTTGTTCGGGTATCCATCATATAATGTGTGTGTGTGTGTGTGTGTGTGTGTGTGTGTGTGTGTGTGTGTGTGTGTGTGTGTGTGTGTGTGTGTGTGTGTGTGTGTGTGTGTGTGTGTGTGTGTGTGTGTGTGTGTGTGTGTGTGTGTGTGTGTGTGTGTGTCATCCAGTTCTTGGTTTGTTGTCTCAGTGATCAACGAGTATTCTGAAACACAAAGGTACAGTACATATAAGTGGAATAAGAAAAACAAGCAAGATATCCATAAACAAAGCACTGTTTACTCCTGGTGTGAGTTTGTGTACCTGTGTGTGCAGTAATTCTAATTCAAGTGTTATCGTATGTGTTAGAATTTCTCTTCCTGTGAACTAATAGACCAAACCTTGCATTAGCATTTGCTCATAATTTTAAACTTTCTTGGGAGAATTCAGACAGTTAGGCTGCTTTTAAGTGCCAAGAGAACACAGGAATGAAGTTGTGAGTTATTTTGATCTTGTTCTCTTTAAGTTAAGTCCAAGGCTTTGTATTATACATGAAATATAGAGCAGGTGAAACATGTATTCAGGCCTCTTTATCAGAATAAGGATATGAAATTTGCCAAATTGTATTAAAAAGGTGGACACTGTGACTGTTGACATGGCAGAGTTGATCAGATAGGAGAGAAATATGGGATAGGTCTGTTTAGGTGTGCTGCAAACCATACACTCATTTGACTTGTAAAGTCAAGTCAAGTAAGAGCAGTCTTTGTTCTTGTTGTGCTGTTTTGATATGTTCATGTAAATATGATGTTATTTTTCCGGGAGCCTTCCTGTGCCACACAGCGACTGCCCCAGTGCCCTGTACATGGGCTGGCTGGATCAGTCCGTAATCCTACTGTATTATGTATATTTATATTTCATATTTTACTTTAAACATGATCTGTGAAGCTAGATAATTACCAGTTAAATAAGTGGTTGTTTTCACTATCTTTCTTGTAGAAATCAGGCAGTAGTTTCAAATCGTTCCATATCAAGTCGTAAATGTTTTTGGTGTCCCACAGTGGCTTACAGTTGGTTTTCTTTGTTTTGAGAAATTCTAATCCCTAAACGTTCTTGTTTATGCACGATTATTGCCATTTACTGATCGTATAGTTGAGTGACATTGTCATAGCTAACATAATAATTATTGTTACTGCCACAAAACCGTGTTTTGGAGCTCCAACAAGCCGTTTAGGACAGAGAGTGAATACACATACTACAGAGAGACGCTGTATGAGAAACCAATGTGAGTTTGGAAAATTGCACAATGTAAATCTATTCTAGTAGACCTCAACAATGGAATTATGATCAGTAGAAATGGCCATGACATGGGACCTTAAACCACCAGATCTCCTTCAAAGTCAAAAGGTCAAAGTCAACTTTATTGTCAATCTTCCAGTTTGTGTGTACAGACAGAGAGATAGAAATACCGCTTCCCACAATCCTGAATACAGAAACAAATATATATAAAAATATGTTTGCAAATATGTATATACCTATATACATGATCAAAGACATATTTATACATATGCACACATTACTACCTAAATAAAAGCACAACAATCAATATACAAAAATAACAGTCACTTCAATATCTGTTATTGAAGTGAGTGTTACAGCCAATGAAGGCGTAGGAGTGGTGTGTCTATGGGAAGAACTTAGGGAGGTTGAAAACCAATCAAGCTGCAGCAGTTTGAGTGAGTTGTAGAGGTTGGATGGTGCTTGCAGGTAGACCAGCCAGGAGGAAGTTCCAGAGTTTTAGTAGTCAAGATGTGAGAGGACAAGGGCCTGGACCAGAACCTGTGTTGCATTCTGGGTCAGTAGGAGACGTATCCTTATGTTGAGTAGGAGCGGAGTAGCAGCCATGTTAGCAGTGAAGGAAAGTTGGTCATTGAATGTCACAGCCAGATTCCTGGCAGTGTGAGTTTGGGAAACAACAGAGGTGCTGGTGTTGATGGAGAGATAATGGATGGGAGAGTCTTTACCTGGAAGGAAGAGCAGTTCTGTCTGGTTGAGCTTCAGGTGTGCAGGCATCCACTGAGAGATGTTAGCCTGACAAGCAGAGATGCGTAAGACCACCTGTGGAAAAAAGGGAAGCAGTTTAGTGTCATCTGTAAAGTTTTAGCAGGAGAAGCCATGAGAGCAAATCTTGGAGCCGAGTGAATTGAAGTACAGATCCTCTCCAAGTTACCCTGTAGGTCTTTGAGGCAGGAGGTATGCAGCGAGGGTGCAGAGCCGGAAACTCACAGTTCTTGGAGGGTGTGAAGGAGAACTGGTGGTTTAATGTCAACGCTGAAAAAGGTTCTGAAGGATGAGGATGGAGGAGAGGGAGGCTGCTCTAGCAGAACACGGTTTGTCCACCAGAGAGCAGCAAAGAATATATTTGTAACTAGAAACAATTATATTCTCATAAACTGTTTGAAAAAAGCAGACGATTATGTATGTTTCTGCCACGTGTTATATAGCTATTAATTACACTTTTACATTTCAATATAGTGTAAAACTGAAACCATGTGCAGTAAAGTTTCCAAAATATTTAATGGGGTTAAATTGAGACTCATGTTTTAATATCTCGTGACATTTCTTTTCTAAAATGTCAGTTTTGAAAGTCATAATGAAATTGTTTGTAAGATGTTTATTCATGCATTGCTGTGACTTTCATAGGCATATCTCACTGACAGCAGGCACATATTTTCAACAGAATATCTGGTTAAAGAGCACCCTCTAGTGTTAAAAGATAAGTAGACGAACAAAAACATCTCCATCAACTTCCAAGTTTATACAATTATAAACCCATAGATTATATATGTGTTTTACTGTCAAAAAGGCACCTTTTAAGTAAATGTAAATATGACTATTTAAAGCCAGTGGATGAAAGAATCACACCATGTTTTTGGGTCAGATCGTTTATTCAGTTTTAGAGTAAGTAATTCAGATGTTCACAGAGACAAAAACATGTTAAATTTAGTGTCGCCCCTTTTTCTCTATTTCTAATCCTCAATTAGTAATCTTTTAGTAATTTAGTTTCTCCCCTCTTCAGGCTGTGATTCCTATATTTGAACTAGAGCCATTCAATAAACCCAGAGAGCAGACACATATTAGAGAAGAGTGAGCTTGTTGCAGTAAATATACCAATGGGTTTACTTAACGCAGATGAAATTAAATGTTTCACTGTCAGCCTTTTTGTACCACTTTCCATCTCTCTTCATGACTCCAGCCATGCCACACTCAGCCATTTCGTCTGGGGCCCAGTTGTGATAGCAGACCAGACGATCACTGACCCAGAACCACAGATCCAGAGTGCAGGTGTAGCGCATTCCCAGCCAGACGA